AACACATTCACTCATTTCATCTTCACAACAACCCTACGAGACAGGTCTTACTGTTATCTTCAGTGGCAGATGAGGAAACTAAGGCACAGAGGTTCTGTAGTTTGTCTAGGGTCAGAAAACTATAAGGAGTAGCATCAAGATTTAAGGGCAGAGTTCAAGTCTTAACCACGGCCCTCCCCTGCTTGAGGAGTGGCTCTGCCCCAGCCCCCAAGGCAGCCACACTTAAGTAGAATAAGATGCAAGCAGCATCAAGTGCTAAAGCTTACAGGGACTATTTCTTGGGGGGAAAGGTAGGCTTGAGTTGGCCCAAAGAACAGGTGTGGACAGATGGAGGGGAGATGGAAATGCATGTCAGTTGAAGGGCAGAGCAGAAACACAGTCATAGTAGGAAGTGAGCTATTGTGTTTGAAAGATGGGGACTGGACAACATAGCAACGGGGGCAGCTGGGGAGGTGTGGCTGCAGCTAGACCAGGGAGCCACCTTTTACCCTTTATTGGCATTAGAGGCTAAGAAGTTTTCATTTTATCCTGATCACAGGAAGCCACAGAGGACTAGCAATGTGCTGGGTGGAAACCCAGAGTGAGGGCAAAGGAACCACAGCAGTGAGATGACATATCTTGATGGGGAAGCCATAAACCTGAAGTTAGAGACAAGATTCCACAGGAATTCTCAGTTGTTCTCTCTAGAAATCACTGATCAACATCATACTGTTCTAGAGCTACCAAATAGCCCCGCAATTCTACTCCTAGGTGTATGTACCCAAGAGAATTGAAAACATCTCCACAAACTTGTACACAAATGTTCACAGCATCATTATTCATAATAGCCCCCAAGTGAGAACAACCCAAATGTTTTCCAGTTGATGAATAGTAGGCAAAATGTGGTCTATCCATAAAATGGGGCAATATTTAGCCATAAAAAGGAATGAAGTACTGATACATGCTACAACATGGGTGAACCTTGAAAACATGTTAAGGGAAAGAAGCCAGTTACAAAAGGCCATGTATTGTATAATTCCATTCATATGAAAGGTCCAGAACAGGCAAATCCATAGAGACAGAAAGTAGATTAGTGGTTGCCAGGGCCTGGGGGATGGAGCGTGACTGCTAATGGAAACCAGGTTTCTTTTTGTGGTGATAACAATGTTCTAAAATTAGATAGGGGTGATGGTTATACAACTCTGTGAAATACTAAAAACTACCGAATTATACACTTTATGAGTGAATTTTATAGTATGTGAATTGTATCTCAATAAAGCTGTTATAAAAACCTTATTGTTTGATTTCCTTGTGCTGATGACTAAACAAATTAAAATTTCAATCTGGTGCTGCGACTTACCTTGCGTGCTACTTGTTGAAACCGTCTTTGGGCCCTGAACCTATTGACCCAAGTATTATTAGTGAGTGGATCAAAATTAGGATGAAATTCCTTGATTTTCTGTGAACATAAAACATAGGCACATCTTAGGTTTAAATTTTAACGCCTGGCATAAGCATTTCATAAAAGTATTTTAGAGTTTGATCCCAACTCTAGTTATTACCTATTTGTTCTGCCTTATAGTAAGCATTTATTAAGTACTTTGAGTGTATATGGCATTATAGGGCATATTTCTTGGGTCAGAGGCCAAAAGTGGAAGCTTTGGGTTTTAAGAAATGCACGGTTTAGTTAAGGATGCTCAAGCAAACTCATGCGACCCTGAGGAAGAAGAATAAAGTCACACAGATCTTGGGCCCACGTGGTGGGTGCTTGGCACTGCCTCCAGAATGGAAAGGAGCAGACTGTGTGGTGCCCGGGGGAGGGGGGCTGCTTTGCTCAGCCCTGCCCCCTGGCACCAGCTCAGTGCCTACATATGGGGGGCACAAGTGTGTGGAGAGTCCTGGGGATGTGCTGAGGCCAGACAGAGCCTCGGGCACTGTAGATTCTTGAACAGGGAAACAATAGGAAGAAAAAGGCATCAGAAATGAATGAGTGTCACTTTGGCATAAGCAGTGGACGGGAGAGGAGAGGGAGGAGGGGCAGATACATAAACAAACAATCTGTTGGATTACCTGGGGTAGGACATGAAGGTTGGACTTGAATATGGCCTTGTGGAAAAGCTACTGGCAAGAGTTTGTGGCCAGATTAAATGGAGGGGAGAAGAAAAGAGGTAAAAATAACTCAGATGTGGCAAACCCAGACAAGAAAAGTGAGAATGATGGAGGTGGGGAGATTCGGAAGAAATTTTTCATTGTTAAGATTAAAAGTTGGGGTTAAAGTTGAAACTATCACAGGACCGCAGATATTCAGGTGGAGGGATGACTGTTCCCACTGTACATTTCAGGAACACTGAGGCACCAAGGCTCAGAGGGCTTTCACCAGGCCCCAAATCTGTGCTAGAGCTGGGACCAGAACTCTGGCTTCTGACTTCCTGTCTTGTTTCTTTCCCACTAAGGGGAGGGTCAGGGAACAGAGGTCCAGGGACCCACCCTAAGGACCTGCAGACAGGGGCATGGAGAGCTAAGGAAAACAGAAAAGGAAACCAAGGAGGAGAAAGTAGAGAGGTGGGAAGGAGAAGCCAGAATATGTAATGCTGTTAATTTCAAGGGGAACATTAATTATGAGTTTTGATGCTTTACTTGCAAATATGTAGGAAAAAACCACTCTGAAAGCATAAGCATATTAAAAATTATTAAATATTTCTTGCTAAAAGGATTTCTTTAAAGTTGTTTAGCATTTTAAAAGTAAGCATTTAAAAGTAAGAGATTCCAGATAAAGGAAAGTTACCCACTTCTTCTAGATTGTGAACAACCCGCTTGTGGTTAACTTCTGTTTTCAGTCGCTGAAATTCCTCATCCAAAACAGGATCTCCTCTATCTAGCTGAGTTTTTAAATAATCAAAAATATTAAAATTGAATACAAATGCACACAACTTTCATCTCTCTTTCAAACTGCTAGAAACCCATTATGCAATTGGTCAAACCCACCCAAGAAGTTTCTGTTAGAAGTGGTGGTGACAGAAGTAGGTTAAAATGATCATTATAATTATACTCACTGTTTAAACATAGGGAGTTTTTATAGAAGCACAAACCCAAATACCTTCTTTTTTGTAACTAGAGGAGAGTGTCTGGAAATTATTTCCAAGGCATTTAGAAGTCACTGAAAAGACTTTAGGAAATGGTGTTACCAGGTGAGTACAGAGATTTCATTTAACAGAAATGTAATGTCCCAGTGAAGTTTTAATTTCCTCAGAGCTGATTAACCAAGTATCAGGTTATAACAAAGGCACATGATTCCTCC